CCTGGACGTGTTCCTGTGCCGGTTCACCGAGTACCAGCACTGGGTCATCACCGAGATCTGTCTGTGCTCCAACCTGAACCGGCGCGTCGCCCTCCTAAAAAAGTTCATCAAACTGGCCACAGCGTAAGTGAGATGAACGATACTGAGACAGCATGAGAAAGCTGTCCCTAGACCTACCGTCATATCTGCAAATAAATTCCTCATTTCGCTGCATTTCAAATTAATTAGCATGGTTTACGCCTATGTTCTTGTTCATACATTGAACATCGCAGCTTCGTTAATTTGCATTATGTTTCACGAGACCAATGAAGTACCAGCATCCTGTTGAGTGTTGTTTTGTGAGTGCGCTCCGTTTATAACCTCTCCCCGCCGTGCCGCCGCCAGCTGCCGAGAGCTGAAGAACCTGAACGCGTTCTTCGCCATCGTGATGGGCTTGAGCAACTCGGCAGTGTCGCGGCTGACGCTCACCTGGGAGAAGCTGCCCTCCAAGCTGCGAAAGATGTACTCGGCGTTCGAGCTGCTGATTGACCCGACACGCAACCATCGCGCCTACCGGGTCTACATGGCCGACCTGCTGCCGCCCATTATACCGCTGATGCCCCTGCTTATCAAAGGTACGCCGCGCCCGCCGCGGTATTTCACCGGATGGGGCATTATTAATGGCCACATACTCCGGTGGTATCTTGGGTATAGAGTTACTAGTGCGCGCACTAGAAGATTGGATGAATTTAACGGTTAAAACCATCGATTTTGTTCATTGGTTTTGGTCTAACTCTAGATACTGTTATGAGGGTTATTGCGACTTGCAATTGTTATGTTTTCACGGGGCATTATATTTCTGTTTTCTTGATGCGGACTGCTGGTACACCGTGCATTAACGGCTTACTCTGACCAAAACATGAGCTAGATTTCTGGAGAAACGTCCAACGATGAAAGGACAACCACACTTCTGTTCGATACTCATTATCTGATTACATCGTTTCTGATAACGGTAACCGGACTCTGTTTCCAGACATGACCTTCACACACGAAGGCAATCCGACACGGATCAACGGGCTCGTCAACTTCGAGAAGATGCACATGCTCGCGCAGACGATGCGCACCCTGCGTTACTGCCGCAGTCGTCCTCTTGGTGAGGATAGCACCTGCGCCTCCGCCGCGCGGGACGCAGGCTCGCTGCCCTGGCCGATACTCAATAATGCACGGAACGCTGAAACACATCGCGCCTCCCCGACAGCTAAAATCAATATTGAATGGGGACTTCAGCAGCGCCACTATTCGCTAACCGCTCTCGAATGTGTATTTGTGACTGGCAGCTATTTGGGAAGGAAGACGTTACGCTTTACTGAGCTACGGAAGCAATAGCACTGCCGTTTGAATACGATTTGCTATGACTTTCGATTTGATGCATTAGCCATCGTAAAATGTATAGAAATAACGTTCATAATTTGCTCATAAAAGTGAAATATTCATTCATCCGTGCTTCAATTTACCACTGGCTTGTATTGCGTTGTTTCTTTAGCTTTTTTTTTGTCTGTGGCCTCCATCATTTTGCTGACAAAATCTAGCTTTGATAAAACCGCAGTTATCATTTTTCTCACAAACTTAATTGAGATCTTTTATTTGCTCCTGTAAACCTTCGGGATGATTAACGTCGGAATGTTTGACAAGTTTGTCAGACCGATATGTGGCGCTTTTTTGCTGTCCGATGACGAACTGAAGTTGTTTTCTAAAGTGTCGTTAAAACTGATAAGTAATTAATAGTGAAAACTAATAGTCGGCAACTAAATGCTGTCGCACGACCTCACCTCACTGATCTGACATGACCTGACGGCTGACCTCTGGGCTGTGCGTGTTGCAGCGTCGACCGACTCCGATCAGCTTTCCCGCATCGAGTCAGAAATACGCCGTCAGCTGCGCGCCCTGCACGTGATAGACAATCAAAAGATCATCAACGCACTCAGCCAGAAACTGGAGAGCCGCAGGACGTGAGGGGCACCGCAGCGACATCTGCCCGAGCTGCAGTCAACTGGAGCTTTCTAGTCTTCGCGTCAGGTGACGGCCCTCAGCTCGCCTTGTCCCAGCCCCACGGTGAAAGCGGGGAGGCTTCATCCCTTGGTACGCCCGGTCCAAACGGAGTGCATCTGAGCAGGGAGACGTCCAGATTGTTATCTCAGCGGAAATCAGCTCTCCGACAAAAGCTGGTAGACGACCATGCACGCCACTGGACCGAGCTATCTGCCTGCCCCGGTCGGTAGGTTTTCTGTCCCGGCAAGCGGTGCTTGAGAGGACTGATCGCTCGCTCTCTGGGGAGACGAGAAACCACTGCTGGTGGGTGAACCAAAAATCGCTACTGGTGTCTGAATGAGGACAACAAAGGCTGAGATACTGGGTCTGTGTGGCTGAGGCTGGCGCTTTCATGTTCTGTGGTAAGTAGTTAGTCGTGAGATGAGGAGCTGCCACGGCCCTGTATGTGTGGCTGTGCAGCCTGCGCACCAAAGGTTACGCTAGTCTCAACCCTGATATTTGTATTTTTATGATCGTGTATTCAAACATAGACCGTGCTCGCGAGTTGAAGCATAGGATAGAGCTGGAAGGGCTCTTTCCGACATTTGAGGTCCTTCAGGAGAGGAGAGGAACGGTCCAAAGTCAGGATGGCGGGACGAGAATATGTAAATAAGGATAAACAGAAAAATAGGTCAGGGTATATCAGGATTCAGGCTCAAAGCTTTGCAGACAAGAACAGAAATAATACAGATTGAGAAAATACTATCGAGTTATTGTTATTTATAATAGCATCACTTTTACAAGCGTATTGTACGAAGTCAGAAAACAAACATATCTTGTTACTTAAAGTTGTACATATTTATCAGTTGGCCACTACACAGAGCAGCCGTCAACATAGTTTAGATGTTACAAAGCCATCATGTCGTCACGTTGCTTACAGTTGGAGCGAACTGAGACTACTCGGCGTGGTCTGGTATTTGTAAGAATATGGTGGTGGCCTGGTCGGCGTCGGGGGCTCTAGACTGGACGTATGTCTGTGCGCACTGACGAGAAAATCACTATTATTATCTCTATTGTACCGGTGTCTATGCAGATGTCGCAAATGGAGGGTTCGCCGGACCAACGTATAATCGTTTGGATCGTGTACGAGAGTATCCGCGAGAACTGATGATGCAATACATTTCCACCGTGTCCGATGTCATGTTCAGATATTCTGTCTACCCGTTTCCTCTCATCCAAAACACCTGTTGTACTTAATGTCGATTCTCTTATCTTTGGAATGCCCTGTGGTGTAAGTGAAGGCAGCCATCCAGCAGACAAGCATGGGCCGCTGAGTTACTATATATGTATATGTAATGCTGGATGCGATTTACGGCAACATGTCATGAATTGATCATCGGAGGAGCACTTGTAATGTGAAGTACACGTAGGGGAGAGTGGGGTAATTTGGCCGGTGGTGTAAATTGGCCGCCCCCACCTGTACGATATCTAATAAAAGTGAGTGAAATAACTCTAGTCTCTATTCATTTGTCATGGGGAGAAATAACTGGAGGACAAATGTCAAAACTTTGCCCCTCGTAGTTTTATTCAAAATTAATAAAACGTTAATTTCATTAGAAAATGGTAACTTTTACTTCTGTTTACAAAGTTGTATAACATGTAGTATTTGGGCTAAAAACGAATTCAGACATTATAGCGCCATTCTTGGGGGTGTTCAGCGGTTCCAAGAGCAATTTTATCTAATTCCGGAAAGCCGCGATGAGTTTATAGACAAAAATTTTCAGAATGGCAATATGGGGTAATTTGGCCGGGACTAGCGGGGCAACTTGGCCGGTGCGCTCATGGTCACTATGCTGGGACGGCCGAGTTTTCATGGTCAATTGTACCATAAATGACATGATTCATGACCAACTTTGACTACTTTGATGCCTTAATTCCGATTGGTCAACTGTAAGAGCATGTGACGTCATCAAAGGTTACCAAACGTTTTTTGCTAATAAATCCTTACACAAAAATGGTACAGCCGCACAAATGGTCTCATTCTGTTCAGCTCGCCAAGGCGCATCGAATGATATGCATGATGACCTTGAAATCACGTGACTTTGAGGTCAAGCGACCTGATGCAACGTGACCTGAGGTCAACCTTTGACCTTGACTTCTCAAGGTCAACACATATATGTTTCGATGCGGACTGACGAGAGAATTACGATGGTACTCGAAGTTTTGGCCTAGCTAGATTGCTTCAAAAGTTATTCGTAAAAAACTGTGATCGCATCTAGAGCCGCTGATTTGGCTATTTTGACCCCTGTGACCCCTGAGCCAACCTCCAAAATACGGCAAATGCGTCATAGGACACACGTCATTGCTAAATCTGAAGCTGACTCGCAATATAGCAGAAAATCCCGACCGCAAACTAACACCGGCCAAATTGCCCCACACCCCCGGCCAAATAACCCTGCTAGTGGGGCAATTTGGCCGCCTTGCAGACCTTTGTAATACGTCACAATTTCAATATAAGTAATTACTCTATCATTTCAAGTTCACTGTCCAGTAAAGTAAAATGAATGCGACACCTGCCAGCGTTGAGAAAATGCAGAAATGTGTCGTCAATTTTAAGTTATATCGTTTTCTAAAAAAAGCGGCCAAATTACCCCACTCTCCCCTAAGCATTCATCCATTCATCCTGCGTATCCTTGATATAGGTAAATATACGTGTGTGGATTATCATTGTGTTTTTTATGAAAAGCAATTAATTTTTAATCCTTTAGTGTCTTACCCATTAGACATTCTACGTCACGAAATGTTGCGAAAGCGGAGACTGGGCCGTACGACGGGGTAAAATCAGCTGAAATCGGAACTTTGGTTCGGAATTTGAAAAAAATCACATATAGAATATGAGCCTAGAATCAACTTTGACGTTTCCGGGCAAATTGATTTATTTTTGCTCTTGTGTAGGTATCCGAGATCTAAAGTGTGGCTGTCAAAGGCCAGAATTGCTTTTGGTAATAATAGCTTTGCATATAACTCTGATAGGTATAGTTGTGACAAAATTGATTCGAAAGCACTCATGTGCTCGCATTCATTTACATCCATTCTTAATCTTTGCGTTCCTTGACTGGTTATTGACTTATATCCTCTGTTCGTAGATGGCCAGGCCTCTCTGCGCCAGCTCTGCGTCGGCCTGTTTTCGTTCCGCGATCACCAGCTCGGCCATCCGCGCTTGGCGCACCTGACAAACACACAGACAATCGCGGGGGTCGACAACTCACACACAAACACACAGATTGCATACAGAGCCGTGTAGCTGAGTTAGTGGCAGTTGGAGAGCGGGAGTTGTGTCCCAAAGTGCAGCGCGAGCGGCCCGGGTCGGTCGGGCCCGGTAGGTACGGGCGTCCCGGCCGTCGGCGCCCGGTCCCGTCGGCCGTCAGAGTCTGAAGGCCACCGGCAGCCACAGGATGACGGCTTAGTGAGCCGTAAACAGAGACAGGCCGGCCCGCTTCCCGGAGAGCGGACGTGACAACGAGCACGTGACAGCGATTCGCGTCAATATTTCTCCGGCGAACACGGCCAACTAATGGGGCTGGCGACAGAAAGGGTCCTGGGAGCCGCGCGGCCGCCGCCGCCCGGCCGCGCGCTGCCTTGGAGAGACGGCCCACTACCGGCAGCTAACAGCCGCACCCGTCCGCTCCCGCTTCCCCGGACCAGGGGAATTCATTGCACGTGGCTGGAGATGTTTGTGTCCGATGACAAGCGGACTGGTTCAGTTTTGTGTGACATGCATGGCTAGTGGGCTCTAGAAAGTGACCAGCGTTGACTTCCCGAATAGATTGCACGGTAGAAATTACAAATAAGACACATTGATCTAGAGTTTGTGTCAACTGCAAGCTGTTGTGCCCTAAAAATGGTTTGTAGGTCATAGTCTCCCGTATGGATGATGCGATGACCTTGTCAATACGAGCGAGTGATCATCCTTTTGATGCATCCTCCATGCATGGAGTTTAACATAAAAGGTACCACAGAAGGATGATCATGCATCGCTCTGTCATCGATCAAGAGCAAAGCACAGTGAAATATGCTGATTGACAGAGCTGGGCAAGTGCGTTCCTTTAGTGCGTTCCTGCGTTCTTCCGTACGTACGCACCGCCCTTTTTAGGAACGCAAGAACGCAGGAACGCAAAGTTTTTCAAAGGAACGCAAGTAAGAGGAACGCACCACCCGAAATTTTAAAGCGTTCCTGCGTTCTTGCGGAACCACCCGAAAAATTATATTGCTGCCAATGAACTCTGTGTCAAATGTTTGAATCTCGAGTACGTGTGTTTGCCGGGAGGCGCCACTTGTCGGTCGAATCGAGGAAGGCTTGCTTAGATTTAGTGGTGATGTTTACTATTCGATTCGGTTTCAGGCATTAAATGTGTAAAGATTTTTAGTGGTGATGTTTACTATTCGATTCAGTTTCAGGCATTAAATGTGTAAAGTAAATATGATAACTTTTACTATGATACATCTTTTAACTTAACTATTGTTTTTAAGCAGGTCGTAGGGGAAGCGGGGGGAGCACCGCCACCTTAAGCATTTCTGCTCACCGAGCTGATATGCGTAGTAAAAACGAAGCTCTTTTGCATTCATGTGAAAGTAGGAATGTTTTCCTACATGTTGGCATAGTTTCCAGCGCTCCATTATAAAATTTAGCTACTTTACAGACATTGAAAACAAGTCCTGCATTTTCCGTCCTCCAAAAAATGTGCGGGTAGCACCGCCACTGATGGCAATGTTATCCACAGATCGGCCTTACGGTGACAGCCACCCTTGGAAGCGTTACTGCTGTCTGAAATAGTAACTCAAACTCATATAAGACACACAAGAGTTGGTTGTTAGTTTGTCACAGATCAGACTGTTTGTTGCGGACAATATGCATACAAAGCATGACAAATTCACGTTTATTTCGAAACATCCAGTGAAGTCAAACGTGAGGTTAAAAAACAGACGACGTTTGCGGCCTAGCTAAAGCTCTTCTCCGAGCTGAGTGAATTATCATTGCGGCTTTATCCATTTTGCCACCCCTTGGGGTAGCACCGCCGAGCATGGCGGTGTTACCCACACACAGTCATGGACCGACAACGCCCCGACGGGAAAACAAGCCGGGACGCGATTCTTCTGTAATTCCTTTCTCAACGAAAAGCACTTCATGCCCTCAAATTTAACGTAAAAATCAAGGCATTTTGACTTGAAATGACCACTTACTTGCTGCTAAAACATGCCAAATGATTACAACGATGGTTTGAAATTCACAAAATGGGCAATTGCGATCTCAAAATCAAATAAATCTTAGCGAAACCTACCTCACGCGGCGTCCCGTTTCCGTTCGGACACCGAAATGGCGGGTGTTTACATTTACAATTCAGAGTTTTGCCGATAGAGAGGATGGCGGTGTTTCCCACATGGCGGTGCTACCCCCGCTTCCCCTATTTTTGTTGAAAACCCTACGGATGATATTGGTAAAACGTATTTCAGATATTCGATTCGGAAAAGAGATGTCGAGTTGCTTTTCGGCCCCACGTCGCCATTCTGGGTATTCTGTGATCGATTCGCCCCGTGTTTGGTTGGGCCCGCGCCGCGTGGTTCGGCGGTATTTTTTAGGGAGGAACGCAGGAACGCAGGAACGCTCCTAACGCACCGAACGAAAAAAAATGAGGAACGCTATTCCAGGAACGCACTAACCGCGGCCGGAGGAACGCAGGAACGCTAACGCACTACCGAAAATCGAGGAACGCGCCCAGCTCTGCTGATTGAGCTATACCTATGTCGAAGATCCTATGCAATGCAAAAAAAGTGTGACAAATAATATGACATGCTCGTCTGAATAATACAAATAAATGTCCACGTATAAACAAAAGGTCGAGCATGTCCACCAGTCTTTAAGGGCATTTGAGTATGAACAGTGAGCTGTGAGCGAGCGCCTTGTGTGAGCATCCCTCACCTCCAGCAGCGCCCTGTCGTCCTGCTGCAGCTCCTGACACAGCTGCTGCCGCAGCCGCCGGTGACCGATCTGCTCGCGCAGAAAACGCTTTCCCTCGCACGCCACCGCGTTCCTCTGCAGGCTCTCGAGACTGGAACGGCATCCGGCCAATGTCAGTGTACCTACAGGTCAAAGACATTTGCTTATGAACATAGTGGCTTTCTGTGTAGGCATGTCAGACTGTCATAAACAATATTTATTGGTATTCAGATGCAATTGCAAACAGGTTGCGAGAGTGAGGTCAGTCAGTTTCGATTGCTTTATTTGATTATAGACTTTCTAGATACGGCTATTATTGAACTTGATTATGGCGCAATATGTTAACATGCATATGTAGAATTGACGAATGACGGTGTATGGGGTAGGTATACTGGCTCAAAAATCAACATTTAAGTGTTGTTATTGGAGATGCAATTGGGTCAGTTATGTTCAAAGCTGCATCTAAGTCTTTATACCGTTCCCAAACACATGCAGTATTAAAATACCTAAGCTGTTAAAATGTAACGAACTATCATAGGCGATGTATTAAAATCACCCTAAAAGAAACGCTTACTTTGTCATGAGCTGTCGCCGTTCCCGATCTTTCTGGTCTTCTGTGTAGACGTTTTTGTAGGTTTTCTCTGCGTTGGTGTTGTAGCAGGTGTTGAGCTCCACTCGGTAGGAGGTGGCCATCAGGGGGTCATTCGGGCCGTTTGGACCTGTCGGTGCGCGCGGGTCGCGCACTATGGGAGGCGGGTCCCCGCTGAAATACTTGTACCGCTTTCTGACCGGCATCGTGAAACTGCTGACAGTGATGATTGCGAAACCACTTCGGGGATATGAAGCAAAATATTATGATAACAATGCAAGTCTTACATTTGTTATGCTTATGACGAGAAATGTGATGATCGGTGACAATATCAATATGGAAGAAGTTGTCTGAATTTCAACAGTCCGTAGAGCCGTGCAAAAGCCGGGAAAAGGGCCAGGTGGAAAGCAAGTAGAACGCAAGCAACGCAAGGAAAGGGAAAGACAAGATGGCCCTAATTCAATATACCCTGAGATGGCCTTGGACAAGATGAAAAGCAAGTGAAAACGGGGTCTAAGCGAAGTGAATCTCGTGCAAAATCACTTATTGTGTCTTGCCAGACAGATGATTAAGCACTTAATTGTCTTCTTTCACAAAGCGCTCGTTTTTTATTTCTGTGTGCATTACGCACAAGTATCCAGCAATGGATACGATGTGATGTTTATCATCAACATTCAGTTGAAGAAGTCCCACGGGACTATAATATCATCATTTGCAGTTGCTTTCTCTAGGTCTGTCTTGTGACTTGCGGTGATAAGTTCGGTAATCGACAGACCATTAGAGTGTCGTGAACTCTGGCGTACTCATGCTTCACCTGAGAGGTGCGATGGTTTACGAAACTTGATACATAGGTACCAATTACGCAGCAGTTTCTCGGGTGCCTCCAAACATAATATTGAGTAATCACCTGTTTGCGTGTGAAACAAATAGACCACGACCTCATCAGACGGATTCTCAGTTTCCCAACAGAACCCTGTTGGCCAAAACCAAGGACAAACGCTCTGAATTCACGTATGTTAGGGTCAAAGCGCAATCAGTCTGACGGATTTCCATCTAAGAAGACGGACAGATTAATTAACCCACAGGACGATTTCTGGGCCCGACTATTGTTTCACACAGAAAAATGTCACATGTCAGGAAAATGTGTGTCATCTCGTTAGTGATAAGGCAAACGGCAGCCTTCGACAGTCCATTTGTCATGTGTTCAGTTTTTTTCCTTGACGAACATTCATTCCCGATATAACTTTGCTTGTCCGCAATTCTCTCTTTGCTGAGTCCCAAATTAAATTATTTTCCTTATTATGTGAAGCATAATTTTAGCTCATCTTTCTAGACGTAGATGGTAGAGGGGTGCATAAAACGCCCTTCTTAGGATTTTCGAGAAGATCTTATGGCGGTGTCCTCTTACAATGCATATTTTTCGGCACATGATAAAAAAAAAAAATTATTCAAACTCATGAAGTTTTTAGTTTAGATCACCAGATGACGTCTTCACAGTAATAATTAAGTTATTGCTCGCTAGCATGATATAACAACCACACGATTTCTGCAAAAGTTTTAGCGTGATAGAAGGCGATAGAAGGCGATACCTACTGGCGTGATATAGAGTGATAGAATGTGTGAAATGTTTATATCAGATGTCTATATCGGCGATCTAAGGTCACATTACTCTTGTGACCTCCCTATTTTGAATAGATGGGACAAAATACGACTGCGTCTTTTTTTGACGACAGTCATACTTTACATTCTCAAACATCATTTAGCAGATTGCTCTGTGACGTCACTCTAAACCTGTTAGTGCGCCGTGTGGTGTCTGCGTTGTCCACCAGATGTCGGGCAGGTGGCGCGCTGCAGGGTGGCGGTCGCGAGGAGCCGCTGGGGACCTCAGTAGCGTGCGGCAGACAGCGGCGACGGCGCGCGGGCCGGCCCTTCCCTCTCCCCTCAGAGCGTACTCCGAGTGTCCTTAGCTGGAAGACTCGGACGGCGTCTGGAGCCTCAGCAGCGCCGAGCCGCGCCGTCTGTCTGTCTGTCTGTCTGTCTGTGTCAGTGTCCGCTGTAGCTATGTGCGAGGTCCAGCCGGCTGTGCGCAGCTCCACCATGACCAGGCCGACCGAGGTGGTCGCGTCGCCGCAGCCGCAGCAGCCGCTGCCCGCCGGCTTCATGACGCTCACCGACCAGCAGTTCCGCACCACCGTCTTCCAGGAGCCCATCGAGCTCTACTACGAAATCTGCCCCGTGCCCATCTGCACGTAAGTCGCCAGCCGGTGCTCAAAGCTATGTCTATTTTGAGCTATTAGTGTGATGTTTAGATCTGCAAAAGCCCTTGGACAGTTGTTATTTCAAGTAGGTCTAAATTTGCCTGTTTCTTCTAAGCGTAAACATTATTTGTACTGTTACCTTTCTTCATATTGATGTTTCGATCTCAAAGAAAATAATTTTAACAATTTGGAGTTATCATTTGTCGCGACCGTTTCTTTCCAATATTAATGAACAATTTAGATTTTGTGCTTTGTGGGAAGCAGGAAGTGCAAAATATCGCAATAGATGTGAAATTTGGTTGAGACTGTTTAAACGTATCACCAAGATTTTGAGGGATCGGGCAAAAGCAGCCAGTATGATCCGTTACAACGTATTGATGTTTTAGTGCAGACTTGATATTTGTGAATGTTAAAAAAATGTGTGCCCGTGGCAAAAAAAGCCTGTGGCAAAAGTGCATAAGTGGTACCTAATGTTTATAATCATTTTAGGTGGCTGTAAACTTCTTAAGTTTTTATGGTTATGATTGCAATAAGAATGAATAAAAGCCTTCGACATATAGCTGAAAGAAGCCGAATAGCAAGATATTTGAAGAATTAAAAAATATATCTTATATATTTTCCGGCTTTGTTAAGGTATACATAGCGAGCTATAACTCATTCTTATTGCGACCTATAATACAACTAAATGTCACTACATCATCACATGAACCCGACTGGTCTCAACTTTTTGCTGTTGGCCGACATGCCGAACGCTCACCGATATGGGCCCTTACAAACCACACGCAGAGGTGGTTGTAAATGGATAGGGTCCCTGTGGTCCGGTGCGGTCTCGGCCCGTTTTTACCGCGGCGCCAGTCTGTCGGCTCCGTGGGCGGCAGACATAGGTCTTCGCTGGGCGGACCGGCGGTACCGGCCTGAGTCAGCGCCGCTGGTGACCTGCCGGTGACTCGATGACTCAGGCGGTCCCTCGGACTGTCACCACGAGTCACTGCCTCCGCCCAAACAGTGTCTGACGGTCCGCTGTCGGATGGTCCGGCTGTCAGTCAGTGACTCACGGACTCGATGCTCGGTCCGTTTCTCGGAGCTGTCCGCAGTCCCTTCCGGTCTCGGCGGACACTCGCCAGATACACCGGCCGTTTCCGCTCAAAGTGCGACAGCTGCGACCCTCGGCGAGCCCTGCTCCTGTTATCTGCTCCACTACCGTCCGTCACAAACGGCACTCGGCACCAAACTCAGTGTGCTCATCCAGAAGGCAGTTTTTTCCCAATATTTACAGCCCGGTCCCAGTCGCAATAACTGGCCCAAGATTCAGCGTCTCTTTCAAGACAGACACAGACGATCGGTGATTTGTAATCCGCTCCGAATTCAGTAGTTCGTCTAAAATCCAGCAGCTGTTCCTAGGCTTCTGAATTTATTACCCAGTACTCGTCGGCGCCCTATGAGTTTCCACACAAATGCAGTGCAATTCACCGGACACCCAGGCCTCCGGCTGTTTGCAGAAGATTGGTTATCGGCTTCTGGCAGTGTAAGCAGTGAGCCGTAACAGTGCAAACACTGCATCATAGACGCCACGGCTGGCTCATGGAGCTGGGTGTGTCTATATTTGCGCGTCTATGAAATCCAATGATAAGAACTAGCCGGAATAATTCCTTTTTTTAATTGAATATCATTTCAACGCTGCTTGTCACCAATCGTTTACCCTCAATTTTATGTAGCTCGGTTGTGTTTTCCGAATTTCGTTTTATCGCTTTGCGTACATGATTTTGTGTCCGGTTATCGGTCTTATTTTTCAACGGGCCGCTCGAATACACATTCATGATTTATGTCGGTATCTAGATTTTATGTTGCTGTCGTCTCAATGCTCATGTACGACACACCTAAAGGCGAAATTAAGGACTGAAACGGTTCGTTAGACAGGATCCCATAGATATTAAACCGGATTCGGAATAGTGTAGCCGGCACTTCCGAATTCCAATCAACTAACCTGCAATGGAACACTCGAAATTGTAATGATAGCCATAAATAAGGCAAGGCCAAATGAAGTGATTCAGTCATGAATAATTATTACGCATCAAAGGCACCTGCCATCTTACAATTGCAGAAGGAAACTTTGTTACAATAAACGACGGGAAAATGCAGCAATTTCTTTAACTCAAAGAATCGCCGTTCTTGCTTTTAAATGATAGTTATAAATGTAAGCATTTTAACGACGGAAGATTGGGCACCAATTTGATCCGTTTCATACTCTTGGGACCTGTGCCTGAGAAATTTTAGTAGTTGTTTATTGGTACGGCTTCTACACCTTTCGAATAATGCTCCCTCGTGAAAGGGTTATTGATGAGCTAATTGGGAATTTGATGCGTCGCGATTCGTAGGCGCTGTATGTAAATTGCGCAACCTTAGAAGTTAGAACAAAAGCAAACTCTTGGCCTGAATTTTTTGCCATCCGATACAACATCTCCCCACTTGGCCCTCCGTTCTGGTGCGATTCCTTTCACCTGTGGGCTGTGCGTGAATGCCGGTCATCCATTGGGTCTCCCGCCTGCACGAACGCTCGAGGAGGCGGACTCAGATGACGTCATAATTAGGGGCGGCGAGGCGAGCTCACGTTTGCACGCCTGCACGCCTTTGGCCGAGTCTCCCACGCAGGGCGGCGCCGCTGGAACAGGCGGGCCCACCTACAGGGACGACTGGCCGGAGCCGAGCGGCAGATAGAAATGAGTGGGAACGGCCGGACACTGCACCGGAGAGACGGTCGTACGTTTCATTTTCAAGGAGAGACGGTCGCGCCTTCTGAGGGAGAGACGGTCGAAATCGCCAGGGGTAAGGACTGAGGAGACATTGGCACTCGCCTATAAATGAGACGGCTGTAATAAGGCTGTCGTTGAGGAGGCCCCTGCGTACTCGTCACAGGAAAAAGGGTCTGCCAGTACAAAAAAAAAAGGTTGTATGCAGCTCAAGAAGGGCACATTTTATAGAAGAGACGGCAGTGTTTATCAGAGAGACGGTCGTCCAAGGCATTAGAGAGACGACCATCCTACCTGTCAATAGAGAGACAGTTGTACCCAATACGGGGATAACGGATAAATCAGCCGCATACTTCTGAGCCAGGAAATACGAAATGCTCACCCTATGAACTGGGCTGTGTCCATTATTTGCTACTTTTTTATCGCACCCAGCTAAAAGGCTCAGTGCCTT